TTCCAGTGTTTCTTGGCCGCATTGTATAGCCTATTGTGCTGAAAAATGGTGCTAAGCCCCACAACAACAATAACAATAATAGATTATTTGGCCAAGTAGATCAGTCAGAAGTTTCTGTGAGACATTGAAAGTTATTTAAGTCAGGTCCAATTGCATACAAAATAAGCAGGTATATCTGCTAACAGATTATAAAAATTTAAATTTTGCAAGGCTTTCAGCATAGAAAGAATCCCAAAAGATAAGATTCTTTTATGGATGTATGGTGATGATGAAAGGTTCTTATTTTACTGATGACTATGGTGGCCTGAGTGGTTTGAGTGTCCACCTCAGATGCGGGTGGTTGTGGGTTTGAACTCTAGTTAAGTCATACCAAAAGCTTATAAAATTGGTACTAGCAGTTGCCTTGCATGGTGCTCCGTATTAGGAGGTTAGTGTTAGGACTGGTTGGCCTGACGTAAGAATAATGTAATGGGGAGGGGGACACAATGCTACATGACTGCGACATGATGCCCCAGAACTAGACATTACTATGAACTGCCACACTGCAGACATTGTAGCGATGTGAAAAGTTGTTAGAGCTATGTTAAAAATCCAAATCACACACACACTTATGAATTTACTCATAAGAATGAGAAGATTAATTTGGGACGGGTTAAGATCGTTAATGACCCCATTGGTAATTTGCTAATGGGAAAATTTTATAGCATTTCAACTTAGGCTGTTGTAGGCAGAGGCACACATTTGTTAGTTGAAATATACTTGACAGACAACACTAACTTGCCATCTACAAATGAACACCAAGAGTTGTGGTTCATAATATTGCCTTCTTCCCTGCCAATATGGTAATTACTGTGTATTTGTGTATGTCTGTGTGTGTGTGTGTATATATATATATATATATATATATATATATATATATATATATATATATATAAAATGTAATTATTTTGTTGCAGTAGCATGGTCATTTCATTTCTTTTCTCAATCAACATAACCCTGAGTTATCAAGTGCAACAAAACTGCATTTCTAATATAAACTGAATGAATAAGAATGAAAACAAAAAATTTAAGATGGGCCTAAAATGTTGAATGCAAATGATTGAAAACTAGAACAATAGTCAGAAATTATTTATTTATGTTGTCTTGTTGTGGATGAGAAGGTCAAACAGGTAGATACAAAAGATGCAAAGTATATGTCTGTCTATGACCTGTAATCTACACAGTCATACAGGTAGATGCAAAAGATGCAAAGTATATGTCTGTCTATGACATGTAATCTACACAGTCATTCAGGTAGATGCAAAAGATGCAAAGTATATGTCTGTCTATGACCTGTAATCTACACAGTCATACAGGTAGATGCAAAAGATGCAAAGTATATGTCTGTCTATGACCTGTAATCTACACAGTCATACAGGTAGATGCAAAAGATGCAAAGTATATGTCTGTCTATGACATGTAATCTACACAGTCATTCAGGTAGATGCAAAAGATGCAAAGTATATGTCTGTCTATGACCTGTAATCTACACAGTCATACAGGTAGATGCAAAAGATGCAAAGTATATGTCTGTCTATGACATGTAATCTACACAGTCATTCAGGTAGATGCAAAAGATGCAAAGTATATGTCTGTCTATGACCTGTAATCTACACAGTCATACAGGTAGATGCAAAAGATGCAAAGTATATGTCTGTCTATGACCTGTAATCTACACAGTCATTCAGGTAGATGCAAAAGATGCAAAGTATATGTCTGTCTATGACCTGTAATCTACACAGTCATACAGGTAGATGCAAAAGATGCAAAGTATATGTCTGTCTATGACCTGTAATCTACACAGTGAAAATACAACCAGTAAATCATATGCAAGGGCACCAACTACCACTAACTGATCTGAACATGGAAAAACCATCAAGTTAATATGTGTATCAATGATGTATTATATCCTAGCCTTTGTATCATAAATCATATTGAGATACAGGTGTATTTTTCACCCCTATGTGCTATGCTGTGATGCACCACATCAAATCTTTTAATAGCAATCATTGTGGCAACTTCCAAGTACTTTATCCACATAGGTTGGGATTAATTATTATAGGATTTACTGTAATTTTGTGTCTTGGAGTAGGTCTAGAGCCTATCCCATGGGCATTATTATCTTGAGGATGATTTCATTTATCAGCAGTATTCAAGAAAAGGCTTTTCATCAGGAACAATGGTCCAGGGGACATACCTAAATGATTCCAGTATGAATTGTAGCCCAAGAAACATTCTGATTGATATCATACATGATAAATCTTGACCATAAATGTCCAGATAATGTTTTCCTGTGTTTTGTTTCTGAGATGTTCTTTGATGTAGATAAATATGGTAGCTTAGAGAGCCAGACTCCAGCTCATTATTTGTGCACTTGGCTACCTTTTGACCTCCCTGCAGCTGTAACTTGGGATAAAAATATCTGATAAAATAAATTCTTCCTTCAACCCCCTCCTCCTATTTCCAGCATAACCATCTTAGCAGCTATCAGATGCAGTAGATGGGACTGGCTTGTGGGTAATTGTGTCTTTTGAGGAGTTAAAATAATTAGTGAAGTGTGCAGCAGATTAAAAAATCACTCCTTCCATCTGTGCTTCTTTGGAGATACCTTTCAGTATTTCAGCTTCTGGATACATAGTTTTGTTGTGTATAACTATCATTGTATAAACATTCTTGCAACTTTTCTTTGAAGTGAATTTTTGTTATTAATAGAGGATTACATTTCAGAGCATCATCACCAGAGTTAATCCATTTTATAATTTACTGGATCATATACACATGAAAATGGTAAAGTATATTCCTTCATCCTGTTCTATTGAATTTGAAATATGCTGACTGACCAAAAATGTATCAAGTTAGCATTGCTGTTTGTTCTCCTGTATTTTATTTATCATATTTTAAATACTAAACCTTTCTCTTTTAATTCTTAATTATATTAAACTTTCCTAGTAGTAGGAGAGTCTGCCTCAGATGTGTTGGGTCGTGGGTTCAAACCCTGGCTGAATCATATCAAAGACTTATAAATATGGTTTTACAGCTGCCTTACTAGGCGCTCAGAATGAGGCTAGTGTTATGATTGGTTCTCCTGGTGTCAGGATAATGTGACTGGGTGGGACATGATGCTATGTCTGTGGCATGATGCCCTAAATGTCACTATAATCTGCCACACTGTTGACATCATAGAGATATGACTGAAAAATTGTTAAAGCTATGTTAAAAATCCCAAACACCAAACACACACTCTTTGAATACTTAATTACATTAAGCTTTTCCAAATATGCATGATAGTCTCGATTGAACTTGCCATGTGACCTGCAAACCTGATACAGTTCATTACAGCACAAGAACTACTTCCAGCTTCATTTTAATATGCACATCACTCCATTCTTGCCTGTGCTATATCAGTTAAAAGTAGCAAGACTTTTAATACTTCAATTAATGTGATAACAGATCAAAACTCGCTTTATAATTTGTTGAGCAAACTTTTATGAATGGATGTTAATTCTTTTGATAAATGAAACATTTGGCATCAGTAAAAAGACAATTCTCAGATGAATTTACATTGAAAATTATAAAGTCAATGCCAGATGCCAGACTGATATCTTCTAATTGCTCTATATACTCATTGAGAAGAATTTCAGACAACATAGAACCTGATATGCTGATTCATACTAACACAGTACTTTAGGGTCTGTGTTTTTCATTCAGCTGTTTTCACCTAACTGCATAGACCCAGATTTATACTGGTGAATTATGTGATCTTGGTCTGTGGAATTTCCAGTTCAACTCGATTATGAGTAATAGACTGACAAATTTTTTTGAAAACTGAACATGGTCCTTCCTTATTATGGGAGTCATGGAGTATTATCAAACACACATACATGCATGCACACTCACATGCACACACACAAACACACACATTAATAAAGTGGGTCCATGACTGTAGCTGTTATAATGAAGGTCACTATAGTGAGGGGTGTTGTACTTGTTTAGTCTAAAGTCAAAAATTTGTATTTGATTTATTTGATTGTGACACAGTTTCTATTGATGAGAGCAAAAACATTTATATAACCCACTATACATAATGTAGGAAAATTTAGTGTTACTCTTCTCTCTTCCTTCTATGTCTGTTCATCCATCCATCCATCCATCAATTGGTTATGATAAAGCATTTTGGTTGAATATATTATTGAAATGTTTTGAGTGAATCTTGTTAATTAGTATTGTCAAAACACTAATATTATTACAAATCAATGAGTAGTTACATATACAGTATGGCCTTTTTATAACACTTGATGTTGTCAATAATAATAATAATAATAATAATAATAATAATAATAATAATAATAATAATAATAATAATAATAATAAAATCTGTCTTGAAAGGCTTCCATCATGAAAGACCATCTATTTTAAAATAACTGATTTCTAATAAACAGATCTATTGATTTTACAGTGTTTTGACCTGTTCAGAGAGACTACCTATCTTGAGAGACCATGTTTTTGGTAGAAGCGGGGTCTCTCAAGGCAGGCACAATTGTTATAATAATAATAATAATGATAATAATGATGATGATAATAATAATAATAATAATAATAATAATAATAATAATAATAATAATAATAATAATAATAATAATAATAATAATAATATCTTTATAGAGGGTGTCTTGGGCAAGGACTAATATTGCATCAAACCATCATAAAAGAAAGTAACTATGTACATAATTAAAAAAAGTTTAAAGCAAATTGCTATGAAATTTAACATGTATTTAGTATTATAAATAATAAATTCTATAATAATCTATTAGTACCACATCTATGTTTACAATTAATTTATGTGCAAGTTATAAAATGAGGTAGCCTTACTTTGAGGTGTTTTAACAAGACTGTGTCATAATTAAAATACAACAGTTAGTGAATTTACTGATGTGAAATCACATTATTTGTTCTCATTAGCCAGCTGGGAACTGCAGTAGCTCAGTTGATTGAGCATTCAACTTGTAATCCAAAGGTTGCAGGTTTGATACCTGCTCAGGCCAGCTGCCTTGGATTGTCCTTGGAAAATAAAATTAAGTCTCATTGTATGGCCAGGATATATACTTCAATGTGCTAAAAGTGCCATTCAAATCACTCAACAAAACAAAAAATGGACAATAACTAAATTTAAGTGAAAGTAGTACAATGTGTACCATTATATCACAAATTGCTTCCTATATCACTTTGGAATGGATGAAATATGTCTATACCTCTTATTGCATATTTTCATTGCCTGGGTTGCACAGATAAATGCACCAGTGTAATATTAGATTCAATATCACCAGCCATTAGTATCTTTGAGACTTGTTAATTTAAATATATAAATTACTGTATGTGCTTGCTTGTAAGATCCATCTACATACTGGATAGACCAATATGTGCTGTTGCATTGTGTAGTGGCAAATCTGGGTCTATGCATTTTGTTAGGAGTAATCAGTAGAACAAACAGCATAGACCCTGATCTGCCATTGTTTAATGCAGTTTGCAATTAGACCTGAATTCTGCTTGAGTGTATATGGTAGCTGTTGCAAACATGATTCAGATAATGCTGTGTAAATGTAAACTACTGGTATGGTTATCTATATACAGTGCTGTTTAATTGGTTTTTCTAAGCATTATTCCTGCACAGAGGTATATCAAGGATATTATGTTAGGAAGGGCATGATTAGAATTTACAAGGCTGAAGGTCTAAGGTGCCACCAAAAACCCCCTCCCTCCTTCCGAGTTCAGTGTCAGAACTTCTGTAGACATGTCTTGTACCAATGTAAATTTTAGAACAGTTGGGTGGTGTGGAATGGGATGATTGATGGGTGGTTGGGATTGAAAATTCACTTGCCCATCTTGATGAGAGTCTGTATTTTCTGCAGGCGCTCACCCAGTCAAGTGTTGACTCATAGCAGTCTTGTTTATCCTGAATGAAAAGGATGGGGTTTTTGTGTGTTAAAATATTACAGATTTTATTGGGTGAAGTCCACATTTTCTACTGGAAGCATGTTTTCGATTTGTTTTCATGAAGCTTATACAATGACATGCTTGTACTTGTTAATAAAAAAGTCTTTATGAGAGTGTGGTCTCAGTTTGTTAGTAGGATCACAGAATAAGTTCTGGAAAATAGCATTTCACAATTTTAAATTTAGGTGGTGACCCGGCTGTACATTTTCTGAGGTTTCCTAGGAAACCTCGGACAAATTTTCCTAGGAAAAACCTCGGAGTATTGGTTATTTACTTTCTGAGGTTACAGTGACTATTTACAGACAAAAACTTTTGATATATGTCCAAGGTTTTTATACTCAGATGTCTGAGGTTTCCTAGGACATGGTTCGAGGTTTCCTAGGACTTCGTCCATGGTTTCCTAGGACATTGTCCAAGGTGTCTTAGGACTTCATCCGAGGTTTTTATACTCAAATGTCAGAGGTTTCCTAGGACATCATCTGAGGTTTCCTAGGACATCGTCTGAGGTTTCCTAGGACTTTGTCCGAGGTTTCCTAGGACATCGTCCGAGGTGTCCTAGGACTTCGTCCAAGGTTTCCTAGAACATCGTCCGAGGTGTCCTAGGACTTCGTCCAAGGTTTCCTAGGACATCGTCCAAGGTGTCCTAGGACTTCGTCCGAGGTTTCTTAGGACACCTCTGGCAAAAAATGCATCAGATCAACAATTTCTAATGAAGCAAATGATTATTACATTATTATATTTTTAATTTTGTTTGTCACAAATTAAATTTTTAAAAATATCCAGAATGCCCATCATGTTCCTTTAGTGCCAAATTTTACATTTCGATCTGAAATATTCATCCATTTCAATGCATACTAATCACAGAGGTATAAGTATTTATTCCTATTATAAGCGGCAAAACAGCGTGATTTAGGCATACAAAGTTTAAGCTATATATTACATGCCAGAATTACAGTATGTATGAAACATATTTTCACTACTTTCATGGTTCTGCAGCTGGTCAAAATTCTTATCACAATGGACAAAATCCACATGGATTTGAACCAGAATGCAAATGCAACATATACTGAAAAATTATTTATATTCAGCATTCACTTCAATTAGTACACTTCCTTAACTTTTACTGAATGATTGTGAACTTAAAGTTTGTAATAATCATGGTCAGGTGCTCAGAGTGCTGTATTTCATGACTCTTATATTCCTTTTCTTTTCCATTAAAAAAATTATACAGACGTAATTATGACATCCAAGGCAAGGAATAATAATGATAATAATTTATTTAGAGAAGGTAACTCAGTTACAGAGCTAATCTACTGTGAGGCTTTTTGTCTGTTATGTAAAATATATACAGTATATACAACATGTGAAGAATCTGGCTTGACACTAAATAAGTGATTTTAAAAATCAAGTATCAAGCCAGGAACATATGCACAGACATGTGAACACATAAACATATAACATTATCCTTCATTGAAAAATTCAACTGTAAAAAAGATGCAAAATTACAGAAAAGCATCCATTTGAGACGTTAATAGTGAAAAGAATAAATGTTAGGATCCTGCCTTATGTCACTGTTGTACTTCAGACATGATGTTTGATTAATGTACAAAATGATGCTGTTGTGGTGTCTTAAATTAGTCCTTGTTCCATAAACAAATGTTTGTCATATAATTGCTCATTTTACAGTGAATTATAACACATCTAGAATATTTTGATGATTTAGACAATAATACCACTCATGTGAACAATTTTTGATTAGATATGCGAGAGGAAAAATACCCTAAGAATAAATGAAATAAGATTCCTAAGCGTGCATTTGACATTATCATATCGTAACTTTATTGTCCATAACTGATAACACTTCATTGACTTAACAAGTGTAGCAATAAATAATAATGATCTGCAGCTTTGTCATCTCAGTCATTGGGTGAAGCAACATTACAAAATCATATTTTGACATATTTAAATCATAAAAGTGCAAGAACGCTACCGGCAAAATAAAGTCATGAAAACTGGCAAAATACGACACAGTTTTGAATTTACTCACCGATATTGTAACTCCATGATTTCAGATTATCTCTCTGATTATAGGATGGTTACTGCACATATAATGGTTCAGCGGGCAATGAAATTTACTAAATTAACTAGGTAAATTATGAAAGTTCAACCTTGAAAATTGTGCCATATTGAATGAGATGCTACAATGGTTTTATTGACTTCTTTTTACTCAAATATGTTACGTGTATATTTACAGTTCGTAAACCAGTCTGCTAAAAAAAAAATGTAAAAAGGGGACGTAACCGCTTTTTATGACTCGATGCCAATTAAATTTGTCGTGGAAAGCCACACTTCACCTTGCATGCTTTTATTTAAATTCTTTTTAAACAAGCAAAATTCACAAAGCCCATTTATTCATATAATGCAGGAAGAATGGGATGCATCTCTCTCTCAAAGAAAAACAAAAACTATATATTTGTAAATTTTATTTAGTAATTAAATAACTGACAACTATTTTCTTCTGGCAGCAGATTGTCATTGAATCAAACTTATGAGAGTACTTTCATAAACTTAATGCCAAGATTTACTGAGACTATATTTGATGGTGCATACATTATTGGTAAATAGATTTACAAGTACTTGTTATCAAATATATTGCTGTATCAAGTTAGTCTGTAATTAACTTTGCAATCAGCTCTATGTCTTACTGTTTTACAGGATTTTACTAAATGGAATCTTTACCCACTCTTCCATTACCTCACAAAATGACTGCATAGCTAATTGAGTGTTCAATCACATAAAGAATTTCCTTTATGCCAAAAAGCTCAATATATTCTCTAACATGTATAATAGGTGTAAAAATTGAAAATGAGAAAAAGACATTTGTAGAAAAAGTAAGAAATAATTTTTTGAAATGGTCAAGAAATAATTCAATTTATTTTTGACATATATTAATAATGTTCATAGTTAATTCAAACATAGAGAAATGTTGGAATAATATATTTTATTTATGAACCAGCTAAGCACAAGTAATACAAGTTCTTAGCATTTTGCAATACTAAAAAGATGATATAAATTAAAACTAGATTATCAGTAACATCTTTTAACTTGACAGTGTAGTTTCTTATACTGAGTATATGATCTAGTCACTACATATATTCAACATTTCAAGAAGTACTGATCTCATGCAGAACTGCCCTTAAATTTCACAACTGATTATTGCAAGCATGTGCAAGCTTACATCAAGTACTTCAGATTTTGTATGCTTGCAGACTATGATAAATTCCTATTTGCAAGCTTGCAGACTTTGAAAAATTCCTCTAGCAAACTTGTGCAGGCACCATTACTAGCTTGCACAAGTTCACTTAGCTTGTTGTCAGCTTGCAGCAAGCTTGCTGCAAGCTTGTCATAAGCATGCATTTTGGTTTGGTGTTACTGATATTATCTACATGTAAATGAAATAAAAAACCAAAATCTGTGTTCCTATTTGGCATTGCCTGAACTGAGATTGTGAAATGTTTATCTCAAATCAATCAATCAACAATAATTCAAAGTTATTATTTAATTCAAATTGTAGACTTGGTAATTGTTTTGGATGACAAATATTCATTTTAATCAACTGTAAATAAATGTTCTGAATAAATATCAGAATTCTCTAAGTGCACAAATAAAACACACCAAATCCATGTCCTAGCTGAAAATTTTCTAAGTCCACATTTTTGAGTCATGTCTGAGCTAATAAATGACAAAGTTCTTCTTTCCTAGACTTTTCAAGCTAAAAATGTACTAAGTTTTCATGTTTAAGGTTTTTCCAAGGTATTTCCTAGGTGTATTTTTAATGTACAAAATAATGTCCGACATTTTCGTAGGAAAACCTTGGAAAAACCTCAGACGTCCGAGGTTTTTTGGTCAAAGTTTCAAGCAAACCTCGGAAAATGTACAGCAGGGGAACTCTTTATATTTCAATAATAGTTGGTTGAACGAGTGTTGGTGAGTAAAAGTATTTATAACTTGTCTGATTGGACTAGTTGATTTTTAGAAATATTTCAAGCCAAGGC